TTATTAGTATAACCTTAAATCGAGCGCGTGCATTTATTTCAATTGGAGCATTACAATAAATGGCGACGAGTAGTAAAATCGAAAAGTGTTATTTAAATAGGCAACTCAAGCATTAAAGTGACGTGAACGGTCATAACATTACAATAAAATGGAGACCCAAATTCAACAATTGCTTCAGGCGATAACCGCCATGATGACCACGATGCAACAGCAGCAACAGCAAATCGCAGCAAATCAACAAACGAGCAGTACCAACGTCAACATAATTTCAACCTTCGAAGCATTCGATCCAAAAGTAGAACCATTTAAAACATATAAAGAGCGCCTGGAAAACCATTTCCATATTAGAAAAATTGTTGGAGATAAAGATATGTGTGCAAAATTGCTTCTACAATACATTGGACCAGCGACGTATTCACGTTTAGCAACTTTGGCATCACCTAAAAACATAAATGTGCTGAAATATGATGAAATAATAGCATTACTGGAAAAACACTTCTGTCCAGCAAGGAACGTTTTGGTAGAGCAACACAAATTTCTTTGTGAAATTCAGAATAGCGAGCAGTCTCTGACAGATTTCGTAGTTACTCTACAGAAAAGAGCAATGGAATGTGAGTTTGTATGCGAATGTGGGAAGTCTATCTCAGATATTTTTCAAAGATCCCAACTAATCAGAGGGATACGCGATGGGCATATTAGAGAACAGCTTCTACAAAACCCGAAGGCAACATTCAAGCAAATAGTTGAAAAAGCAACAACGTTGGAAGCCGCTAAAATAAATAATAACGTGATTGCAAACCAAACCGGCTCAACAAGTGATGTGCAGCAAATCCGTCAACATGTTGGTAAGAATAACTATCGTAGCAATAGAAATCGTAATCGAAGTTGGTCCCGAAATAAAAACTCGAAGTCATCAACAAGAGTTAACTACAGCGAATTGGGGATAGAAGGTTTGTGTCTAAGATGCGGCCGTAGTAATCACTTATCGAAGGAATGCAATATAGATAAAAGCAAGTTAAAATGTAATTCATATGGCAAGACTGGTCACCTGCAGAAAGTATGTATTCAAGATAAAATGAAGCAAAAGAAATCGAAAAATGTAAACAATAACGCAGCTACATCAAATGCAATTGAATCCTACACAACAGAAGAGGAATATTATGGTGTAAATCAAGTTATCGATATTTATGAGCAAAGTGCTGCAAAAAGTTCATCTATAGATGCAGAAAAATTTTATACAGATGTTTTAATTAATGGAAGAAAACAAAACTTCGAAGTTGACTCAGGTGCCGGCTACACGTTGCTGCCGGAAAATCAATTTATGAAATTAAATATCAAGACACCGCTAAGAAAAACAAATATTGCTTTCCGAGTCTATACAGATGATCTTTTTGTGCCAATTGGAGTCGTAACTGTGGACGTAAGTTACAAAAATAGAAAATCCAAAGAAGACTTGTATATTGTGTCATCAAAACGTACCGCATTATTAGGTCGTGTATGGATACGTCATTTAAAAATTAATCTACACGAAATCGATAAAGACAGTTCTAAAAATGATACTAGCAACAACAACATAAATTCTATATCGGAAATCGAGCAGCAATTTTCAGAAATTTTCGAAGAAAGAGTCGGTAGCATTCCGGACTTGGTCTGTAGTCTAAAATTACGACAGGGAGCAAAACCCGTGTTCTTAAAAGAAAGGCAGGTTCCTTTTGCGCTACGCGAAAAAGTGGAACATGAGCTTGATAATTTGGAGCGAGACGGTATAATTACAAAAGTTAATACAAGCAATTGGGGTTCACCATTGGTGGTAATACCAAAACCTGACGGTAACGTGCGACTATGCGTGGACTACAAAGTAGCTGTTAATCCTCAACTGGAAGCCGCACATTATCCAATCAAAAGAGTCGACGAAATTTTCAACACATTAAAGAACTCAAAATATTTTTGTAAACTAGACTTATACAAGGCGTATCTTCACGTACGAGTGGATGACGATAGCAAAGAAGTGCAAACTATTTCAACACACCGAGGTACGTACCAAATGAATCGTTTATCTTTTGGAATTAAAACTGCCCCAAGTGAGTTTAACCGTATTCTAGACCAAATATTGCAAGGCCTCGATGGTACAATCGCATATTTCGACGACATAATTATCCATGGTGGTGAAAGAATGTGAATACCGCCTAATCAAATGCCTTGAAAGATTAAATAAATATCAATTACACGTCAACAAAAGAAAATGTGAATATTTTAAAGAAGAAATTAAATATCTGGGGTATGTAGTAAGCCATAACAAAATTTCAAAATGTCCAGATAAAATGCAGGCAATTATAGACATGCCAAGACCTGAAAATATAGAGCAAATAAGAAGATTCCTTGGAATGATTACATATTATTCAAAATTTTTACCAGATGTATCAACACTAACATTTCCTTTACGTCAGCTTTTAGAAAAAAATAGAAAATTTAATTGGACAGGGCAATGCGAAAAAGCATTCAAAAACCTCAAACAGGAAATTCTTAAAGACAGGGTTATAGTACCCTTTAATGAAGCATTGCCGATAACATTAGCATGTGACGCAAGTCCGACTGGTATAGCTGCCGTACTATCACATATTGTTGAGGGAGAGGAGCGTCCCATAGCATTTATTTCAAGAGCATTAACCAAAGCGGAACCAAACTACAGCCAGCTTGACAGGGAAGCGTTAGCAATTATTTTTGCCGTTGATAAGTTTTTTATGTATTTATACGGAAGAGAGTTTATATCATTGACAGATAATCGCCCCCTAACAAGAATATTTCATCAAAGTGCAAAAACACCAGCTATGACATCAGCAAGACTACTGCGTTACGCCTCATTCTTACAAGGATTCAACTACAAGATTCAACATCGTATAGCTGAAGATAATGTGAACGTAGATTGTTTATCGAGAGCACCCATCAAGGAAATACCAACGTTTAAACGTTTTTTGGACGAAGAGGTACGAAATATTCAGGACGGAAAGATCAACCAAATATCAACATTTTCAATCAATGCCACTACTATTTCAAACGAAACAGAACGTGATGTGGAACTCGCAAAACTAAAGAAAGATTTAGCGGACGGTAAGAATTGTGATCCCAATTATTCATTGCAAGATGGTGTCATATTTAAAGGTGATCGTATCGTTATACCATCGAAGCTACGTGCAGAAATATTAAAAGAACTACATTATACACACGTGGGCATAGTCAAAATGAAGCAGCTTGCAAGAAAATACTGTTTTTGGAAGGGCATTGCCACTGATATAGAGCGAATAGTAAAATCATGTCCTAGTTGTGCGGAAGTGAGGAAAAGCCCTCCGAAAGTTGTAACCCATCATTGGGAAGAGCCGATCGAAAATTTTCAAAGAGTCCATATTGATTACGCAGGACCATTTCAAAATTACTATTTTTTCGTACTAGTAGATGCAAAATCTAAATGGCCGGAGATCCGTATAATAAGAGATGCCCCAACTTCTGAAAAGACAATAGATTTATTACAAGATATTTGTGCAACACACGGATTACCACAAACAATTGTATCGGACAACGCAACAATATTCCAAAGTGCAATGTTTAGAAAATTTTGTTGCGAAAACGGAATTATCCAAAAGTTTATAGCCCCTGGACATCCAGCAACTAACGGATTGGCTGAGAGATACGTCCAAATTTTGAAAAAGAAGCTAAAAGCGAATGATGATGAAAACGTACCTTTAAATATTAAATTACGAGAAATCCTTTTTCGCTATAGGGCAACCCCATTGGCAAATGGTCAAAGCCCAGCTCGAATGTACCTGGGACGTGACCTGAGAATTAAATTGGACGCTATGCGGCCAGTAAAGCAATTGAAATCTGCAGTACCTAATTCCCGAGTTCGACACCTAAGCGTAGGCGATAGAGTACAAGTGCGGTGGTTTCACAGGAATAAACCTGGTTGGAAATTTGGTGTGGTGAAACGCAAGTTTGGACATCTTCATTATCAAGTAAAACTAGATGACGGGTATGAATTGAAACGTCACATAAACCAATTGTACAAATCTGGTATTGATCCACCGAAGAAGACTGTAACGCTTGCGGAACCACCCGTACAACAAAGATCAAAAAGAGATGAAATTCACATTGAACATACAGTAACCACTCCGGCTACGCGACCAGCGTCAATCTCACAACCTACACCATTATCAATGCCAGACGATCCCGTAAGAAGATCGAGTAGGATCAGAAGGCCTCCTACACACTTGCAGGACCATGTTCGCTATTAAGCGTGGGAGACACTGTTATGTATTTACCAATAGTTGGCATCCCTTTTTCCCTATTGTCATTATTCATTTATATATGTACATACATAT